CTGGACCCTCTCTGTGTTGTCCACATTCCTCTTAGGTTTTGAGCTCATTTTAGATTTGTCCACCATGGATATAATTAAAGGCCACATCAGTGTGTTATGTAGGGAAAAGTATAAGATTAGAGATTTATCCTTTTGATAGATGTCGTTATATCTAGCTGGTTAGATGTTATACATTATACTCTGTATAGATCATGATATTGTTATATTTATCTATATATAGCTTCATCTACACTGCTGCTGCATCTGAAACTACTTTGCAATGTCCCCATGAGAGACCTCCTTATATGAATACTCTGAATCTCCATTTTTCTTGCTTGTGTAACTCTGACATATAGTGTACACTTATGCACTCAACTCCTTCCCTATCCCTTCCTTTTTCTGAAAGTAGAATTGCTCAGCTTTCATAAAGTTGACAGCTTTTTGATAATGCATTCTGTACAGCTATCTACCCAACCTGTCCCTCCTCCCTAGTTTCTAATATTTAGTTGCCAAAAAGTAAGGATCCAACTCACTAATGAGGGAAATGAATTATATTGGGGGCAACTACAGTTTATAATGTAGTAACTCATCACAGAACAACACTCAGCTGTCTTCTCAATATTTTAAAATCTTAAGTTAAATCTTAAATTTTAAGTTTAAATAAATCAAAGTATATATGAAATTTTAAAAGGTACTTGATACATACATAGGGGTATACTTGTTAAAGTTTATTGAAATTCAAGATTTAATTGTTTTTGGAGACTAAGAGGCAACATGCATATGAGGGTGTTTCATAAAATCTGAAGTTCTGAGACTTGCTTATTCAGCGATCCCAATTTGTTGGTAGATCAATTTCAGTTTAATCAACTTTTTATTGTGAGCCTATTACTGTTTTTAGAAGTAGTGTTACTTGGAAATTGTATATTTATGCATTATATGCTGGAGGATGATTGTGCATGTGCATATGTACATCCTCCACCCCTATAAAAACAGTGTGTTAATCATAGAATCATAGGGCTGGAAGGAACCCTGAAGGATCATCGGCTCCAGCCCCCTGCCTGAGCAGGACAGACATCTGGGGTCAGATGACCCCAGCTAGGTTACTGTCCAGTCTTCTCTTGAAGACCTCTAGGGTACATGATTGCATCACATCTGGGGGGAGCTTGTTCCATAGTCTGGACACTCTAGTTGTAAATAAGTTTTTCCTAATGTTCAGCCTGAAAATATGTTCCAGGAGTTTGTGGCTGTTGTTTCTAGTTTTTCCTCGGGACATCCTGGTAAACAGTTGGTCACCGAGCCCCTGATGTATGCCTCTGATATAGCAGTAAGCTGCAATCAGATCCCCCTCAGCCTTTTCTGTAGGCTGAAGAGTCTGAACTCCTTCCACCTCTCCTCATGATCCACCTGATCATGCGGGTGGCCCTTCTCTGGACTCTCTTGAGCTTTAGCACGTCCTTGTTAAAGTGCGGTGCCCAGAACTGGATGCAGTACTTCAGCTGCAGCCACACCAATTTTGAGTAAAGTGGGAGAATCACTTCTTTGGATTTCTTTGGAGATGCATCAGCTGATGCATGCCAGTGTTTTACTGGCCCCAGCGGCTACTGTGTCACATTGTCGGCTCATAGTCACGCTGAGGTCTATTGTTACCCCCAGATCCCTTTCATTTTTAGTGCTGGTCAGGTTAGCAATGCCCAGACTGTAGGTGCGCTGGGGGTTCTTCCTTCCCAGATGCAGCACTTTGCATTTCTCTGTTGAACCTCATTTGGTTCTGTTCTGCCCAACATGCCAGCCTGTCTAGGTCTGCTTGTATCTGCAGCCTATCTAATCAATATGGTGAAGAGTAGAAAGGTGCTTTGTGCTGAATTAGTGAATTTTCTTCTAAGGTATGGCATTGTAAACATTCACAGCCATTTGAATGCAAGCACTCTGTTGGATTTTGGCAATCCAATTAAAGTTTGAGCCTTTACAATGTACCTTTAAGATGCTTACATCCAGGGTGAGGTTAGTGTGATATAGCACAACATTAAGATGCATATTGCTTTAAAAAACTGTTAATATTTACTTTTTCATTCTGCAGAA